CAACAACTTGCTTTATCAACATCTAGCCCCAGAAACATTAAAAAAGTCATTATTAAATATTTCTCCAGAAAGACAAAACCTATATAATTCAATAGGATGGATGGAGCTCTCTGGCTTTTCTTCTAGTTGTTGTTATTTGAATTTTTTTAATTTGAGGATAAAATTGCGCATCTACGTTTCACAAGCTGTCAACTTTTCTAAGGTTGCTTTGAATCGCGTTTGTTGTTGTTGTTGTTGTCATTAGGTGTCAAGTCAGTTCTGATTCATGGTGACGGTATCCACAACATAACAAGCATTGCCCAGCCCAACAAATCGTGAACCTACAGAGCAGAGAAGTGCCCATTTTGGGTTTCTGAAATTGCAAACCTTTAAAGGAGCATAAAGCCTTATCTTTCTCCCTCAGAGCAGCTGGTGGGCTAGAGCAGATGAGTCTTTGATCCGCAACTCAATGCACGACCCACTCTGCTCGCAGGTCCTTAAATATGCACGTCTCGCCACTGGCATCAAGTCCATTCTGAGTCCGAGTGACCTACATAGGGTTTTGGAGGGTTTGTAAATATTTATGGAAAAAGACATCTCATCTTTCTCCAGTGGAACAGCCGGTGGGTTTGTACTGTCAATCTGTGCTTAGTAGTGCAGTGTTTACCACACCGTGCTAGTAGGATTCCATACAGATATACCAAAAACAAAAACCTCACTGCTATTGACTCAGAGGACCCCACGGGACAGGGTAGAACTGCCCCGGTGGGTTTCTGAGGTTGTAACTCTTTACAGGAGTAGAAAGCCTCAAACATATATATGTGTTTCAAAATACACAAAACCAAATGAATACCTTGCTCTGAGTGATACTGCCTTTATAAAATTAGTGTTGAATAGTTGCTAGTTGAGCTCTTTTAAATCACAAGCATTTATTCATTTTTTGTAAACTCTCTTTATGTCTCTAAAACCTGCACAGAAAACTGTTAGCCAGATGCAATCAAACTCTAGTACTTGCTGAGATTTGCTAAAGTTTATGACATTTTGTGGTTCTGACTTCCAGGCATCTTTGACTTTCTTTAAACTCTCCTCCTCATCACAGAATCTACATACCAATCACACACACTGGGCCTATTAGAATGTAAATTAAACCATTCCAATTTTAGGTAGAAGATATCAGAAAAGCTCCTTCGTATTTGTCTTTTCCTCAAAGACAACATACTAGCTTCCTATGAAAATCTGCTTAAGCCACGGAACAATAAAAGATGACAAGCA